GACACTATTAAAGCAACAAGTCTGTTGACAAGTAAAATAACATGTGTTTACAAATCAATCGTAAGCAAGATATATCTAAAGTACTGTTTCAAAGTGTAAACTTATTCACAATCTAGGTGCAAACAGGGAATGCATTGTGTAAAACATAACTTAACTCACTTTTGTTGCCACTTAAAATATTTCCCGTTTCTAATAGAATGACAGAATTGTTTATATATTTTTTACAAATTGTTTAGGAGTAGCAAGTGTACATGGTTAGTAAAACCAATCTAGGGCGTTCCGCTAATTGATAAACAACGTATGAAAATTAAATTTCGTTTTAAAGTTTGTTACATTATGATTACTCACTTCTGTTGTATTTCATCCAGATATTGTCTGTTTGTAAACAAAAATGATAATAGTAATATAGGTTATTGAGCTTCTCCCCCACCCTAAAAAATAAAAAAAAAAATTCCAGTTATACCCCTTTTTTTATAACCTACTTTTTTAAAAAGATTTTCTTCTCCACCACCCTAAAAAAATTTTTTTATCCCCAGCGGGACTCGAACCCTCGACTCATAAAAAATAAAAAAATTAATAGACACCACACATAATGGCACCTTTAAAAATATTTTTTTTCTGAATGGAATCTGAATTTATAGTAGAAAAAAATAATTTTTTTTTCCAGTTATACCCTATTTTTTTAACAACGATTTCCGTTCATTTAGTGCAGGTATAGAATCTCACCTAAACTGAAATAAGATCTATTGACAAAATATAAAAGTAAAATTGATAACGCGTGAAGAAAATGTACTTAAATAAACTAAATTTATGGTATCTTTTAAAACTTTAAATAGTATGAAGCAATCACGCGAATGATCAAAGAGTGTCGATTTAATAGCTGGTACAAAAACCTACCATCGTTCAAAATCTGCATGGGTGAAAAGACCATGAAAAACGAATTAACCAACCGTATATACCTCACTATAGCATGCGGTCTACCACAGCGGCTCATTTACATATTTTGAAAATTTCTGCATAAAATAAAATTTTATGAATACGTAAGTATCTTAACTTCTATATTTTGGAGGCGGATCATTAATTATAGTAACTTTAGTGAATAAAATTATACATTTACCATTTTTTTTTTAACCGTTTAAAGCCTGTGCTTTCCCTCTTCTATTAACTTTTTCTTTCTGTCTCACTCAATCCTGTTTTGTTTTGAATGTATGCTATCTTTTAATTTATTATATTTATCTAATTCATCTAAAATCAATTTAAATTCATTTTCGGATATTTTTCCGTCTGTTAAAGCTTTAGAAATTAAATCTTTATATACTATTTAATTTACTATCAGCAATAGTTTTAATCTCATAATGTTTTTGTGTTTTTGATTGTAATTTACGTCTAATTAAGTTTAACACATACTCCTAAACTTTCCGCATACAGCGGCTGCAAAATTCCTAAAGGTAACATAAAAGGAATAGCTAAGCTAGTACCGGCTAAAATAACGGATGTTGATATTAAACCAGTATCAAACACCGTCAAGTAATATTAATTCCGCGTTTATATTTTTTGTATAATATGTTTTACGATATTTCTTTCACTAATTAAATTTTTTCTATTTCTGATATTTTCTGTAATCTATAATTTTGACCATCTTCTACTGGTAATTCTGGATATAAAGGATCCGGCAGCTGTTGGTGTCTTCATTTTTTAAAGGTAAATTTTTTGAATATAATTTATTCCCAAGAATATGTAAATCTAATGTAGCTGCCTTTTTCAATAGTAAATAATTGGTCAGCTAACCCGAGACTGGAAAATGCAATAATTGGTCAGTAACGAGACTGGAATAATTGCAATTGATGTATTCTTAAAAAACTGTTGCTTTATAACGTCTTCAAAAATATTTTCATCAGTTGATCTTTTTAAAAGTACTTCATGAGTCCTGTCTTCGTTTTCAGATCTGTAATTTTCCTGCCATATCAATAAAAAAGTCGCTTTTACCCTTTAATTATAAGTTTTATATTAATGTAGTATGTTCCATCTTTTTTTAGTTGTAAAACCACTCACGTTTCTAAAGTCACCTTATATTCATATCACGTTCCTCTTCTATATAATCATTATAATTACAACAGGTGAATAATGAGAAATTAAAAAACTTAAATAGGTTATGAGTTTTAATATAACGATTATTTTTACCGATTTCGTAAAGTAGTAGGTAAAACTTTAACTTCTAGAGTAGAATTCATCCGCATATGGAATAAAGGAACATGATATATTTTGTTGTTAATAATATTCAGAAAATCGCCCCTTTTCACTCTGAAAGGTCTGAGACTGTATCAAGTATTGTTTTACCTAAATCATTAACACGTTTTTGTTTGAACCTCTTCGAGACTTTCTATTTTTGTATCTATTTTGTTTACTGCATCTCTAGTATCATCTGCATTTTTCTTAACATCACACATCAAGTCTGGTAATTTCTTTCTGCAGATTATCAGTAAAGCAAATCTTTCATTTGATTAATTTAACTTTTAAATTATTAATTTCTTCCATCTTGAACATCGCTTCTTTGTGAGCAGATTGTTCTAGTTGTGCTTTGAATTCATCAAACTTTTTCAGAAAATGTATTAAACAATTCCGTTGAGTCATCTTTTAACGTTTTTATTTCTTCTTTTTATTTCTAACTTATACATATTTTGTAGCTTTTCCCTCAACTTCAGCAAGTTTGTTCTTAAGTTCGTTGTGTTTAATCATGCTATTCTTTATATTTATCAATGCGGTTTGCCGATTAAAAGAATGTTTTGCCTTAATGCAACTTTTATTTCATTATCTGTTTTATCAAGGTCTTTTAATGATTCTGATAAGATTGTCATTTCTTTCTGTAGTTGACCGTGCAGTGTGATTATTGCTTCTTCATTATTTTAATGCTTTCAGAAAGTTGATCAATGTCTGACTTTTCGGTTTGAAGTAAGTCTTTAATGTTTTTTATATCTTCCAATTCATAGTCGTCTATTACCACTTTTAATTTTCCTAAAAAACAAATCTTTTGCTAACAGCATCACTGGTTTTTTTTCTGATTTCCTAAATTAATTATAGAGTTACCGCTCATATCTAATGTATATTCATTTTATTACCAAGTTCAGAGTTGTTTTTTTTTATGTTTTTTAATTCCAAAGATACTCATTTTTATATTCTAAAAATCAGTATTCTGTAATTCTTGTTCATAAAAACTACCTTTAATTTCTTCATCTTTTTAATCTTTTATTTTATAAGTAACAGGATTGTATTTAAAACTTCTTCAATTACAAATATTTCTCTTCTCCAACGGGTAGTATAACCTTTTTCAAATTTACCTTTCATTTTTGCAATTCTTACTCTATCTCCAACTTGAATTTAGGTTTTTTAATTTTCTTCTTCTTTTTCCGGATATTAAATGTTCATACACTGTTGATTCATTTCTCTTTTTTACTTGCTTCAACAGGTGTCATTTTAATAGAAGAATGAACTGTATTGTTATAATCTTTAACTAAATCATCTAATACATCATAATATTTATTAGTTTCGTGAGCAGTAAAATATTTAAACATACGTTGTTTCATTGTTCCTATCCATCGTTCTACTACACTAGATTTTTCTTCATTCTCAGTTGAATATAACTTTATGTTATTATCTTTTAACAATTCTTTTACTTGCCGGTTATAAAATTCAGAACCTTTATCTGACCAAATATACATCGGTTTTCTTTCTTCAAATAATGTTTTAAATGCTTCACTTACCGTTACTCCTGTTTTATTTTTTAAAGGAATTAGCCAACCGTATTTACTAAAAACATCTATTACTGCTAATAAATATTTATAGTGTTTATTTTGTTTTGAATATTGTTGCATATCTGCCAAATCAACTGCCCATGTCTGATCTACTGAATGAACATAAACCCGTCTTTTAGTAAATTTTTTTATAACTCTATGATGTAATTCATCTGCTAATTTATTTGTTAAACCAGCTATAAATCTACTTTTTTTAGATCCGCATTCAGAACATTTAGCTTTTAGCATTTGTCTATTATTAGTTGTTGTTACTTGTTCGACTGAATCATTATCGGTATGTTTTTTACAACGTAAACAATATATTTTCGGATGCTCCATTTTTAATATATAAAATTGATTTCGTAAAAAATGACAGAAGGAAAAATCTGTACAAAATGTAATGAATACAAATTACTAAGCGAATATCATAAAGCAAAAGGTTTAGCGATGGGAGTTAAATCTGCATGTATACAATGTAATAAACCTATGAAACAAAAACATTATCAGAAAAACAAAGAAAAATATAAACAGGCTTTTCAAGAATTTATGACTAGAAATCCTAATTATTATCACGATAAAAAATTATAGCTTATTCAAATTGTTTTCTAATAAAATGGGATACAAAAAATCCGGTAGCAATAAAAACTATGTTAAGGAAGTTATTAATAAAAGTGGTATTAATATAAATAATTATTTTTAGAAATATTAAACCAGATATTAAAAGATTAGTTTCATCATTTCCTAATGTTAAATTAATCTAATAATAAAACTATTTATTCAAAGCCTATAGCAATGGATGAAAAAATAGAGAGACATTATAATAGCGGATTTATAAAGCTTTATGCTCAAAATGAATTTAATGAAGTATATAATTCTATTATTGAAAAGTATAAAGTATGGGAAGAAGAACATCAGGGAAAAGAATCTGGATTAATATTTAATGAATAGAAAATACGGAAGTTAAAGTTGTAAGAGTAAGAAGTCTAAATGGATCTTCTTATTTTGATCTAGGAATAAAATTCAATAGTTTATTAAATATTCAAAACAATGATGATCACTGTTTTGCTTATAGTGTAATTGCTGGAATGCTATATAAATTAAAAGATAAACCTGAGTATAAAAAATATTCAGATATATTTAAAAAAATGAATAAAAACCCAGCAAGAGCATCAATTTATAAACCTTTTCTAGATCATATTAATATGGAAAGGTTATTGTTTACAAATGAGTTTCAAGTATGTGTCTTTGAAAGATCTGGTAAACTAGAACTTATGACTAATGAATGATGTACGGATATTTTCATATGTATACATTCCTATGTAAAAATATTCTTTTAAGCATTGCAATAACTTTATAATAGATTCTATTTAAAAATGTCAGTTGTTGAATATTGGGTTCTACTCACAAAACTGTCTTTTTTCGAATGATATGAACTGTTTTTTCCATTCTACCAATATTTTCTTTGTAAAGACATCAAGTTTTCGAGTGAAATAGATCACTTCTATAAATTTGGCTGTCCTCTTTTTAAATATTATAATTGAATGTGAAAAAATCCTGTAACTACCTTTTAATGATATGTTTTGCTTTGTTACGTGACGTTATATATGCTTTCATATCAACATTCGTAGCCTCTCACTTTCTCTTGGTGATAATTATATCTTAATATATCATCATTAGACTATCCTTTATGTAAGAATTAACCATAGCTATCACGATAACTGTGTACATTTGATAGATTTCATCACTTCTAACGTGTCCTTCGAAAAAGTTTGTTATTTCTAGAGACTTCTATCCCAGTGGCATTTACGTCTTTTCTTTATTATCTCTAACTTGGACGATGTGATTGATGGTCTGACAGTTCATAATCTATTTCGAACATTCTGCAGCATGATATTGAAATAAATTCACGATAATTACTTAAAAAACACACATACACATTCATTGTTTTGTATGCAATGTTTAAAATTATATATTTGTTGGAGAAAAGACACTATTAAAGCAACAAGTCTGTTGACAAGTAAAATAACATGTGTTTACAAATCAATCGTAAGCAAGATATATCTAAAGTACTGTTTCAAAGTGTAAACTTATTCACAATCTAGGTGCAAATTGGGAACGCATTGTGTAAAATATAACTAAACTCACTTTTGTTGCCACTTAAAGTATTTCCCGTTTCTAATAGAATGACAGAATGTTTTGTATATTTTTTACAAATTGTTTAGGAGTAGCAAGTGTACAAGGTTAGTAAAACCAATCTAGGTCGTTCCGCTAATTGATGAATAACGTAAGAAAATTAAATTTCGTTAAAGTTTGTTACATGATGATTACTAACGTTTGTTGTATTTCATCCAGATATTGTCTGTTTGTAAACAAATATGATAATAACATATTTTAAAACAAACAAAATCTGTTTATGATTTCAAAAACAAAAAATAGTAGTAGTGGACGGGTTTTAAACACTTTTTATAGGTCTACACGTGTATCTTATATTGTTTTGTCTTAAGATGTTGAATGTACCCATCAATAGAGTTTGTTTGAAACAACAATAATCCATTTAAATAAAACATCACACTAAACAGCTTTCCAAACAAACGTTTTTGTATTTTGTTTTCGATTTCATTACTTATATCTAAAACAAAACACTTTGGACACTTCTTTCTGCTAATCTTTACAGTCATAGTTTATGTCATCACTAAGGAGAATGAATAATCCATGTAATTATTCTTAGAGATCCGTAATCTGAAGTTTTGCCGACTCTGCTTCAGTAAGTTTATCAGCATGATCTGTTTTGTTTTCATCATTACTATTATCCTGCTTTTTCATTATGTTTTCCATAAGAACGATAGTTAATGGACGCTCTTGTTCGGTCATCTCTGCACTGTTATTTATACCTCCTGTCCTGCAGTGGTACCAGAGGGACAGGGGATGACATCCTGACACCACGACAAAAACTAGTAGAACAATGTGGACCTGTTTGAGAACAAAAGTAACAATAAAGAATGAGACTGAAGTTATTTTTAATCACACAGAAAGATGTGTTATTAGAAAATACATTAATGTGAATGATTCCATAACAGATGTTCTATACAATAACAAACTAGTATGTTCAGAAGAACTGAACACGGACGGTAAGGGCATAGATGTTTGCAGTTACAATTACAGATCTTTTTGTACAATATAGACTAAGTCTTGTTTACACAATAAATAAAACGTACAAAATTTACTTATCAACTGTTTTACATCACAATATTGCGGTTAATATAATACTTCTTAAAAATGGTGCACATCAATTTTACAGGATGCTTTCTTCATGGGAATCGTTGATAAAGTTGATAAGAAATTTTAAATTATCTATTACATTAAGTAATCTTTTACATTAAGTAAGGATAGAATTTGACTGATATCAGAAAAAAACCCACATAAAAAACGTGTTTATCGTAGACCCAGTTATTTGAGGAAAAACAAATGAAAAGCAAAAACGTATTATAGTTATATTAGTTTTATATACAGTTTTATATTATTTTATTAATAATACGTAAACGAATGCGAAAAAAAAGTAAGTACAGTGTAACTTCTGAAAACCGAACACCCACGGGACTTGTCAAAAAGTTCGGATTTCAGAGGTTTCCGGAATTCAGAGGTTTATGATAATGCGGACAAGACTAAGCCACTTAATATCACTAAATGTCAAGGAAGAAGTGGCCTTTACTGTAATATCATATATAATAGTCTTTTAATCAAGATAAAGATGTGAATGAAAAGAATACATTTTTTATCTTACTTGCAAATGCTTTTGAATTTCTATCAGTTTGTAGAAATGTTGTTAATTGCATAAACTTCATATCGTCCGATGCTAGTTAATTAATTATTACATCAAATGCAATAAAATCCCTAAAGACTTTTGATGCATACATTGTCCAATTAATTGTCATTTAATCCGCTAATAAACACTTCAAATTAACTGACCGCCGTAAACTACTTTGATTAACCGCATCACTTCAAACATACCATTTCACAGTTTGTGATTTTAACGCGTGTCAATTTACACGATCACCGCTAATTAGTAAACAATCGATAGGGAGATTAAATCTTCCTGCAGGGTTTACAATGTATTTCACACCTTTGAATATTTCCGGTTTTTGGAGGTAAAATTGCATTGATTTGACTCTAATTTTACGAAAATATCGTCCGGAATTCAGAATTTAGAAGTTCCGGAATTCAGAAGTATTATTTTAATAGAAAATAGAAGGGAAAAAATCGGGACCGAAAAAATTGTTCGGTTTTTAGAAGTTTCCGGATTTCAGAAGTTCCGGAATTCGGAAGTTACACTGTATGTAATTCTGAGTGATAAAGGCACAACTGGACGACAAGCTAGGAAAATTCAAAGTTTTATTACTAATATGTTAAAGAAAATTACACGCATTTTTGATTTCTTTTTTTTTCTAAAAATACTGCAGATCATTAATTTTGCTTAATACAATTTTTCAGATGTTTGCCAGAAGTTTTATGGTGTACATGTTTTACAACTTAAATCTATGCTATGCAGATAAATGAAGATAATTTCTTACGTAAAATGTGTTGTCCGACGATCCTTGATGAAATAACAGTTTTAATGGAAATTGGAGGATAAGGGTAATACCGGAACAGCCTATCACTATTCCAACTAGTTTACCGAAATGCTCGCTTGGAAAATGTCTGAAACATACAAGATGCAAGTTTATTATCAGCCATGGCAATATAAGGGTAATTTTTAATATGTGTACTCAATCTTGTGTAAATGAATTTACATAAATTTTACTTGACTTGATTTCCGGTCCACGAAATCTATCAGTGAATTTGTATGAGCTTACTTTATATATTTATGTTATACAAATTAAAATGAATTTTGTTTAAACTAAGGATTTTATAACATGTATCAACACTTAGTCTAGTAACATTATACAAAGAACAGTTTCAAATTCTAAAAAAATAAAATGATCATGTTAAAGATGCCATGAAAGGTGATATAAATTAGCAACCATAATTTGAGCAATCATAAAGGAATGTTTTAAATTGAATGGACAATATATCAATGTATTAGTAAAATCATGTTTTACGTAATGATAAGAATGTTCCTTTGCGATAAATAATATTGTTTAGTAATTAATTGATTAACTGTCATATAATATTTTTGTTTAATAACAAGCTACTCTATATATGTGTTATAAAATTCACTTTAAATAATATTTTGAATAAAAGAAACAGTTTTATTAAAGGTATGTATAACCCTTTCTTTCATATTATTAAAATAGAAAGATTATCGGTTAATAAGTGTTCTATAATACACTGCTCTAAAATATTATTAAAGAATGTTTTAAAAGAAATAAAAAACATTTGGTAAAAGTGAATAAACTTACACATGAGTTAAAAAGGCATACAATGTTGCGTGAAGAGCAACTTTTTCCATGGCAACAAAGATGAATGAAAGCACTTGAACATGGATATTTGAAAATAATGACGTCACACTGCTTAGCAAAGCAATACAGAAATGAATACTGACTGCATAGAATATGTTTTTCATCTGAAGGATATGGTAATGTGCTGTTACTGAAATAAAAAAACAACAATTTCCGATACCCCATGATATGAAATGATAATATCACGATATTATGAAATTTATTACAAACAATAAAAAAAAAATGCTCAAGGTAGGTCGCTTGTTTATATGCCAGTAAAGACGTAGAAACGACGTTTACGAGAAAACAACAAAACTATACAACCTTTTTGTTACTATCTAGTTATATGACGGTATTTGAATGAAATATCCTTTGCCAGAAAGTATATATCAATATGAAAAAAAAAACACTAAAATTATAGATCCATTAACTCTGTTTTTAACAATATTCCTTTGGCTAAATATTCTTTGTCGTCATCCAAAATCTATCAAACTAGACTTAAAAAGATAAATTTTTGCTCAAAGTTTGGTATGAAATACAATTTTTGCCGAACAAATCATCATTTGTTTTTGTAAAAAAAACTTTACATCAGAATCAAGCTTAAAATGTTAAAAATAGTCCAATGAGTGTTCGGCTGATTATTCTTAAAACATTTTCAAATTTGCAACATATTAAACTACAAAAATTATACGTCAAAAAAACATTTTATGAACAATTTATCCATATACGTGTTTGTTGATGACGCTCTTCTTAAAGTGGTAAACATGTAGTCTGCTACTTTACCATTCAGTCATTCATAATAATTACACAATTTTATATATTATTAACAATAAAATGATGAAATGTTTTTGTCCAGACAGAAGCATGGACATGCCTAGTGAATGTATGTTGCATGATAAGGGATAAGATATACAATTACCTTGTTTCTTGTTCCAGTCCATTACTATACCAAACAAAGGAGATATTGGTAAACTAAGCAGAAGTATCAAGGCATAAAGCGATACATATTTATCAGCTGTAAGGAAAAAACACATCAGTTAAGATAATTCAAAAAACAGAAATTGATATCTAGTATGTTGTAACTTGGAAGAGAACTGAATATTACCGGTAGAAATATGTTAAGCCTATTAAACATGAACATTTTAGTTTGTAACAGTAAGATGCAACGGCATTAGAAAATATCCTGATATGACATAGATTCGAACTCGCAGCCTCCCGCTTTCTAGCGAAAATAACAACGCTCTAGACACTGATCCAAAGGTCGATTCCTTGATACAGATGCCGGAGGATGTACTCATACTTATGAATGTAGGCGTGTACTCAACTGTGACATAGTCACTGACTGAGAAGGTCACGAAAAAGCATTGTAATGATATAGTCGAATGTATGAACATGAAAATTGTCTCATTACTGCTTAAATAAAAATAGTTTGCGCACATGAATTATATCACAATAAATATGTTTCTTGATAAGATGCTGGCTGACTTTTCCATAAGTCGTAGTACTTTTTTCGTACATGGAAAGAATATAACAATCATCATATTTTTAACTTAAGATATTTATGTAAATATGTGTATAGACTTCATTATACAAACAAATATTTTACTTATTTTTTACCGGTTTATATAGTTATATGCCCATTTTATAATAAAATGATGAAACACAATTCTGTAGTTATTTTAGATACATATTTGTGAGATGACAAACAATTATTTCAACCTGAGTATGATACAAATTTTTTAATAAGCATGTTGACTATTACACACATCTTTGTACATGTTTATATTAAGATCATTCAGTATTTAAGGTTTCGTTTTGTCGCTGTTACGAAAAACACAAAAATGATAAGATTATTGGTAATATAACATATGTTCCTTTTTTTAAACAAATAAATCGTAAATATCTTTACTCTTTCTTCGTTTTAAAGACAACTAAACAAAAGATACTGTCTTTAAAATAACAAAGAGATTCTGATGATAATTTTGAAAAGGTGTCAAAAATCTCTTAATGATACTTACTATCTATAACACCGATATGTGAAAGTTGTCTATAGACGGTCATGTCATACATCCATATTTTAAGAGTAAGCAGCGAGTACCAAATTATACAGAAAATGTATAATTTTGTTTTAATTATCCCCCAAAACTCAGACAAATCGTGCTTTTTCTTGGTGCCAACTGTAACGAGATAAATGTGAATTTCGTTGTTTAAATTGTGTGTATATTTATAACTAAGAGTGCTTTTGGAAACAAATCTTAACACCAAACCCCATGTTTACTAAGAAATCAAACTATTCAAGATCTATATTTGGATCAACTGTAGAATGACCATATATTGAAAAAATTACAATAAATTTAGTCTAATATTTCATAAACATGCTATTTCAAGTCCAGGTTTATCGATACTTAAATATTTGTTAACATTCGGCTTGGTAGAAGTTTACAGTTATACAAAACTAAAATGACTATAGGATCAGTAAGAAAATTAACATAAATCATAAAACCATAACATTATTACATTGAAGTACCAAAATATTTCATGTACATGTATAACATAGCAACAAAGCAGACATATTATAATTTAGTTCTTTTAACAATTTAAATCTTATGTTCTGTTTTACAACATCTAACATGTTTAGTCTTTTTAAAGGGAAATGTATAAATGTATCTTTCGAAACGATTTATGTGCTAAACACAAGCTCTTGCAAATGGTCCTGTGTTTCGTTCATTATAACCTACTGATTGGCAACACACAGGGTAGTTATGACTTTTACCTGATGTTCGCCTTTGCCAAGCTTTAGTCTTTGCGTGTTTATCTTCTGCGTGATTGACGCGTCTGTTCTTACCGTATTCAGCCGGTAACGGCCACGGAATCCTTGACCTTGGTAACATGGCAATTGTTGATATCAGGACGGGTACAATACCAATCGTTGTAAACATGAAAGATGTCTGAAGACTTACTCCTGTGGCCTTCGTCAACTGGTGTTAAAGAGGTTAAAAGATCAAATAACGACTAAATTTTTTCTTTACAGAATAATAAAAGAAACAGTGTGCTTTATGAACGGATACTATCAAGCGGAGTCTGAACCTGTTACCTTTCAAAATTTGTTTTCATAACTTTAAATATCTTCCTTTTTAAATTAATTGTTTTTCTCTGTCAAAAATTAAAACAAAGACACAACGCAAGGCTCACATATATTTCAGATTCAATGTGTAAGCTTGGATAGTGTACTTATAACCTTAATGTTTATTCACTGTTTATTTATATGAGAAGTCAAAAACAAACTAAACACAAATAAAAAAGAACAAAAGTGGTGTATATACAACAACATCTTTTTGAAAGGATATGTATTATCTTTTATATCATGTTATTTTATACTGCTGAATATAGAACAAAACTGTATTGGACCTGTACATAGCTGCCATACCAATATATAACCAGGTGCTAGCCGAGTCAGTTATAGGTTTTGCAGCAGTTTACAGTGGAATCAGTATTATTCTCACAAATATATTAACATATAAATTTCTCTTTAATCCTTTTGACAATTTGACTGAACTCTTTTACTTCAAGTACACTTTGTTACAATCTTTGTTATAAATAGTTTGAACTCTGAATACGTTCAAAAATTATAACAGTGAATTGATATGGATTTCTAAGACATAAAATGGAAACGAGGCTAAATTGAATGTACTAATTACTAACCTCGTGAAATCACATGGTGCCAAAGCTAAATCTTTAGTGGCTTAAATTTCATAAGGTGTAAATATATAATAATCTGGATTATATTAGAATACCTTCATGAAGAATATAACAATGCCTCCCGAGAAATAAGCTCCAACGAATACGGACATCACGGTATAACGTCGTGATCCAAACAAATTGGCTACCTGCAGGTCCGTTAATAAAATCAGCATTCCCGCCACACCAAGCATCAATAAAGCTGGTAAAATCAGCCATGGATATGCTACAATAGATGTTGTTAAGATGTACAAAAAAGATCGACAATGACTGTTTTGTAATAAAGAAAAAGTACTTAGTACAGATACTCGGGAACGACAACTGTCATGTACTTTGGCCATGCTCTTGTAAACATATCAATTTCAGCGGCTACTCGGTAACGACACTGTCATGCACGGTATAATATTAACGTTGTTCGCATCTTAAAACAATCTTAAAATCTTGAGATAAATTGCATTTTGGAAATACAATATTCTAGAAATATAATTCAAATATTGTCAGTGATAGGATAGCGAAATGCCTTTCCTGCGCATAAGAAAGGCATTACGATTATTAGTTTTAATTCTTAGCATTATTATAATGTATTTTTCATAAGATTATTATTTAACAAACTGTAAAAATGCAATTGTGATATATAATTCATTAGTAAGAAACTTACTATTGCTTGAAAACAGCATCGTTAATGAACCAAAGGCTGTGCAACACCTGGAAGAAAAAATATATTTATTATTATTATTATTATTATTATTATTTATTTATTATTATTATCACACAGTCAAGCAGTATCAACGACCAAGTAAATTATAATTCTTTAAGTAAACAATAGATCAGTTGGATATCATATTGACAATAAGGTGGCAGAATGAGCTAAAAATGGTGATAAACAGGATCGTAATAACAACTGATATTTATGTCGCCCACAACGCATTATATAAACTTGGTGTGCAGATTAATTAAATCTCCAATTACAGCTTAATCATAGCAATAAATGTTACAAATCAATAAGTAACTCACCCTTTAATGTTATCATTCTCTAATTTTTTTTGTTAGGTCTATTTGTAACTTTAATCTTCAACATAGCTTCTTTGATGAGTTTATCTCAATTTTAGGTAAAAAAAACTGATTTATTTAAAAATTTAAATTTTCTTAGCAAATTATATAAATGAAGATTGCTCTTTGTTTAAAAAGTTTCTGTAGATTAAAAATTTTTTGATTTAGATTAAATCTTACCCTAATTTAATTGACTTAACGGATTTTAGCTTTACTTTTAAATGTTTTTTTAAAATTTTTAAGGGAAAAATATGAGGGGGCCAAAAAATAAATAATGAGGTATGCTTTATGTATTTGGCCCGCGTTAAGAACCGGGAAAAAAAATGATTATATTTCTACATTTTACAAATTTTTCCTCCTCTCATAAAACTCTCATGATT